AGTCTGTCATTATACAGCATTCTTGTTCAGCACGCGTGCAATGACCGCGCTTGGCTGACTTCCGAATGCTCACCGAGATATAATAATTTTGGTACAGTGAGACAGGCCATCGCGTGATACATAGAGGTTTAAGTCACAATTTTTAATCAATTCTCGTGCTTCTTGTGCCTTTGCAAAAAAATCAAGAAGTGCTACACACTAAATCTACTTACTATTAAAAAAATATCATTTTTTCATAGGTTTAATGCAAGCCAATAATTAAACCAACTCGTGACGGGAATATCTCGGTGAGCATTCGGAAGTCAGCCAAGCGTGGTCATTGCACGCGTGCTGAACAAGAATGCTGTATAATGACAGACTAGAAACAATAGACAACTCCCAAAGCACAAACTCAGCCAAAACGCTAAAAATCTTCAATGTTTACTCAAGTTTGGGCTTATAGAAGATAATGTCACAGTTTTTCAATGACCATGAAATTCAGAGTCCGGGTAGTTAGTTAATCAATTGTGGCCCTGAAAAAATTTGAAGGAAAAAAAACTACGAATTTTTAAGAAAATGCTTTTTTCGTGAGAAGGACTCTTAAACGCTGACAAACGTCAACAAATAGCGAAAACTATAATTTCTATATGTTTGCTTTGCTCGAAATCGCGCGCATTTACAAGGCCCTAAAGCGTTTTGCTGACTTGCAAGGACCCATCTGTTATAACGATGCCCAAAATAAAGAGATGAATCTCATAGTTTATTAGATATAATCCGTGTAAAGTTTGCTTATCATTTTCGCATAAATTATGACCTAAATTTGGAAACCGCTGAATTTCTCGAATTGGGTCTTTGCGATTTTGGTGAAACTCTGTTCAGCGCAAGGCACTAATGCGCACTATGTGTAGCCGAGAGATTTTCACGAAAAAATGCCGGCAACAGCAGATTTTCGACTCAGACCTCAAAGGGGCGTGGCATTATAACCACGTGACATTTACTCCGATCGCCAAAAATTTTATGTTATATTGTAGATTGATCTATATGTTATCCATTCTATGTGTTAGACTTACGATAAAAGTAAAGGTGGGGATACCAGAGAGCTTCAAAGTAGGATGGTACCCCCCCAAAAAAACTGGGTCGAGTCACCTTAACTTTATATTTTTACGCAGCGAGAGAGCGTCATGTTATGTCAAGTTTAACAGTCCCAGTCTGTGGTTATGTGAATCAGTCTTTCTTGTCGGGTGAGAACTTTGAAAGCCCGAACCCTTAGTCAACATTTTCTCGATTCACGTGTGCCACTCCTTACCCAGGTTCCAGAAACACTCAGGAAATGCTCTGGCTTCGCCGCGAACGATCAAGCTCCAGATAAATAAGGTACCACTCCTTTGAAACCACTGACATAAAAGTTGGGTTTAATTGCTCCTAAGATATCCCAACTGATCCTCATCGAACTCCGGTTTAGGGCGAATGGATATACCGTAAAATTCCGAAAATAAGCCCCTCCATGTATAAGCCCCTCCAAATATAAGCCCCCCAATCCGGTAACGCAAAAAGCCCTCCGTTAAATCGCCCCGCCAAATATAAGCCCCCCGGGGGCTTGCGCTTGGAAAATTGCCCTCAAATACAACGTAAAACAAAGCAAAAACGGTAAATTTACTTCTAACTATATGGTTAGCCCAATCGATTGTGAAACGTAAATTTCCCTCCGTAGATAAGCCCCTCCGAATATAAGCCCCTACAAAAATAAGCCCCTCAAAAAGGGCCTTTGATAAATATAAGCCCCGGAGCTTATTTTCGGAATTTTACGGTATCGCAGTTGCCCAGCTACTTGATCCCTAAGAAATTTTGGAGGTAGCTTATTTTGCCGTAACTTTCTCGACCGAAAGATACAGTAAGATACTTAGCCTGTTCCAAGTTTGTCAACGGGTCGAGCGGGTGAAAAATCGAGCGTGGCCGCAAATAAAAAAGGGGGAACTAAAAAAGAAAGAAAGGAGGCCCTCCTTGCTGCCCGGGTGTCAGCCGCCTCCTGACGTAGTCAATCGGATAAAAATCGACATCGGAAATCGATCGATATCATCGATATTAATCGATTTAATCCACCGATTAATATTGATTGATATCGGAAATCAATAGAAATCGAAGTCACAGAAAAAATAATTTCCCGATTATTATCGATTAACAAGATCGATAACAATCGATAGGAATCGATAGTAACCGATAAAAAATCATTATCGATTTCTATCGGAAAATCGTCAATATCGTCGAAGTCAAAACTTTTTTTCTTTACCGATTTCGATTGATTGATATCGGATATATCGTTTACTATCGAATTTTTCTTGCATTTCCTCTATTCTTTTTCACTCTTCCAGGCGAGTAAAACACATGGTCAGATGAAAAATTTTAGGGCCATTTTTCGCGCCGATGGGGTTTTTCTACGAACCCTTTTTTTTTTATAAAAAAAAAACTCGGTCCGGTTGTGTGAAAATTATGGTAAAGTTTGATATTATTGATTGATTATTGGCTCAAATGCAAATTGCTTGCAAGAAGCCTTGCTGCGCGCGCCGGGCGGTTCTAATAACGGACTGCGCCTCGGCAAAAGCTATATCACGTACGATTCAATTTTTGCAGGAAAAAGACAACGCGTAGAGGAACAGACATTAAAACTGACCGAAGACGTGAAAACAAACGCCGTAACTGGACTGCTTAAATTTAATAAAGTCAATAAAGGTCGGTAGACTGCAGAGGAGAGAATTGAAGATCACACTGATATGAGCTGGTGAATGCTTTTTTTGTCAAGTCTTGATCCGAAACGAACCCTCTTTGCACACTTACCTTGCTTTTTTCGGCATTGGTGGGGTACGTCACGTTGCCATGTTATGGCATGGGTTACGCACTTGGCACACAACTGAAATAATCTTTCTCTGGTTGCAATATAAAGTTACTCAGATATACGACTCAAGTGTGGACTGCGTTTCGATAAAAAACAGCAAAACACACACGAGTCATCAGATCGGCTCATTGTCGCATCTTCGTTAATGATTAACGATTTTCAAACAAACGTTAAGTCATTAAGAGCATTTATTATTGTTCTAATAAGGGACCAAAGTAATTGAGAAATATAATTCATCATTTACGGCCATTTCTTGCTGGAATACACCAGTCATACATTTGGCATTGTTCCCATACACAACTACCTTGATTTTACCACTTTTTAACGCGCACCGTTTTTCACATGCGGCTGAGTATGCGAATTTTGGTCGGCTGAATTGATTCAGACGCCGATCATTATTCCAGCCCACCTAAATTCGAATAAGGGCAAAAATGCGCATTTCGGTTGAAACCTTTTAAAAATCTATCCCTGGTGAGCCGACCTAAATTTGTAGCTGTTTCGAATTGATTCAGATGCCATGCAAGTTGAATTCGATTCGGCTCATTTGAAGTACCGCGTCTGAACTAGGTCTAAATGCAACCCATGGGTCGCAGTTTTAATTTTCAGTTTTTAGTTTTTGTACTGTTTATTTTGTGTAGAGATGAGTAAAAATAATTACTCCTCAGTAACGTGTTTAATTTTTTGTCGCGTTTAATAAAATTGACAGGTATCACTTTAAAGACCTCAATACGTGTCTATCCCAAAGTTTTAATATATCTTGTGTGTTAATTGTGGTAAAAGCGTAACATTCTTACAACAGGATGTCAGCACAGTATACCAGCTAACGTTCTTTTCTAAATATAATTCAAAACCATGCAACCCAGTGAAATCTACTTGAATAGTAAAATTTTCTTTTTTATGATTCATCTGGTAAAATATGGATTTGTGAAGTCTACATGTTGCTTANTGTCAAGTCTTGATCCGAAACGAACCCTCTTTGCACACTTACCTTGCTTTTTTCGGCATTGGTGGGGTACGTCACGTTGCCATGTTATGGCATGGGTTACGCACTTGGCACACAACTGAAATAATCTTTCTCTGGTTGCAATATAAAGTTACTCAGATATACGACTCAAGTGTGGACTGCGTTTCGATAAAAAACAGCAAAACACACACGAGTCATCAGATCGGCTCATTGTCGCATCTTCGTTAATGATTAACGATTTTCAAACAAACGTTAAGTCA